TGGCAATTATATTCCTCTGCCATCAGTTCTTCTCTTGATTTTTTTTTTTTTTGGGTAGTCCCCTTGACAAAATTCTAGTATCTCACGATAGGTTAGCTATTTATGTTTGCTTATTATTTCTCATCTATAAAATGCTTCTTGTGCTGAGAGCCACAAAGGTGTTTTCAGGCACAACCTGGATTTGATTAATGGCATTCCTTGTAAAACCTGTTATCCAAAAACATTTGCTCACTGTTCTGTGGCTTTCACAAAAGACAGGTAGTATAAAAGGATAGCAAATAATTGAGAAATGTGCAATTAAAATGAGATAGCATTTTTTAAAAAATCACTTTGATGGCCGCAGTGCCCTAAGAGTATTATAGGCCATATAACACAGTCATCCAGAATATAGCAGAACTTTATAGTGCTAGTCTTTAAGGCATAAACAAAACATAAAAGAGCAACAATATTATTACTGCCTTTGATAGTCTTGTAATCTCTGTTTGTTTCATGTTCCAATGGACCATGACTGTAACCTAGGAAATATCTTTTGCTCATTTATAGGAAGCGTAAATCTTATTGAGAGAAGAGAAAAATAATTGAAATATTATTTCAAGATAACATCATTGGCTGTGACATGATATAATATTTTTGTTTTAATTGACTGTTTCAGAATACATTAGAAATGGATATCTCAGGCTTACAGTAATCAGTTACAAAAATGAAGTTGAACATCTTCCTCTTGATGGAAACATTGGATTGTCTTGGAGGACAGATGCATTTGAAGGCACTATTAAGGTAAATTGCAGTTACTGAATTGTGGAAATAGTTGATCTGCTTATAAAACAAAGTTTGTATGTGGTTAGTATACTGTATAAAACAATATTAGTCTTTTAGTGTAAATAAATGCAGCACACACTATGTAAAAGGTATAGTTTTACAAATTAACCCTAAAAAACAACAATCCCCAATATACAGTTATTTTGAGTGTGCTGTTTGTGATATAGAATAGTTTTCACATGGATTATGCAAACATCTTTTGTGGTATTTTGATAATAGATGTAAACAACCCCCTCTCCCAAGAATGGTAATGTAATAGTTACTTTTTTAAAAAATTGGGTAACCTCTTACCATTCTAGAATATAAGAATTCCACATTTTGACTTTCTTGTATAATCAAGAAATTATAATGATAAAAATATATCTGTGTTATGCCTTAGTATTTTTGTTAGAAAATGTTTTTAAGGCTAATGTTTTCTTTGATTATTTTCTTCACCTGCTAAAGGTGCATTTTATGGGAAGAATTTTATAGATATCCTCTTACATTATTCATTTGTGTGGAAATGACAGAACACAAAGACTGATTTTCTTTTCCCTTCTCCCTTTCTACTGTATACTATAGAATTGTTTCATTATGGATCTGACTCTTCTGGATGATTCACAAAAACCATTTTGGTGTGTTAGTGTTCCAGTAAGCATGAATTTATCATTCAAGCCATCTACCCTCTATCAGTATCTGGGACCTAGTTATTATATGAATTATAAGGATTCAACTGGAAAAGTTTATATGGAACTAATATGGATGGAAGAAACAAATGAGTATTATATAGTTAATCTAGTCATTTATTTGAGCACCCACAAAGTTAATAGTTGTTTTGGCACAAATTATTGAATTTATTATTGAAATTATTGAATTTTTTTTAACAGTACTGATTTTCTTAAGAATACTTATTTTTTTATTATGTTTATCCCTAAAGTATGTGTCATAAATGCCTGTTGAACCAACCAAACAAACAAAAAAAATCCTTGATTTTCTTGGTTGTATTTGACTAAAAAGAAAAGCCTTTATGTTTGGGACAGCCTTATATTTTGATTTTTTATACATGTAAAATAAATTGTGTTCTCTCTTTGAGCTATCTGTATTACCAAGAAAATTCAGTAATTTGAATTGAAAATTGAATTTAAAAAATTACATCCACATTAGGGAAATTTCCTAGATTTTGAAGCCATATGAGGGTAATTAATATGACTATGTTTATACAAACCAAATATGTACAGAGGGAGTATGTATGTTTATGTATAAACCAATCTTCCGTGACATTTATTTCTTAGATTTATAGCTTTCCTTTTGTACTGGAGTTCAAGGCTGGGTACATTGTGTGATGATAGGGGTGGTGGTGGCAGAGGATGAAACCGTAGAGCATCTCCTCCTTTGTTATATTCCACATAGAGAAGGGGGTTATATGACAAGTGGGGAGAAAAACAGGTTTGCGGGATGCTCAAAGTCCTAGATTGGGAATACTTTTCCCTGTCAGGGAGACAAGATTAGGAATATTGTTAGTCCTGGGGTAGACTAATATTAACAGGATATAGATATTTTGCAGAAGTAAGTGAACGTGTTTAAAAACCATTTTAGTTTATTGTATAAAAATTTGTTCCTTGTTTCTACATTTACCAAGTGTCTGTGTTATCCTATATCTTCCCCACATTTCATTCAGTTATGTTAACTTAGAGACTTAAAAGAATTTCTAAATCAAAAAGATATCCACAACAAGGAAAATATACAACCCATAGCATTTCCTTTTTCTGTTTTTCCTCATCATGACAACCTTATGAAGTAGGTTGTGCTGAGAGAGAGAGAGAGGGGTTCAAAATTATCCAGGAGGTTTTTGTGGCTGAAGCTGGACAAGGTCCTGGGTCTTCCCATGGCTAGTTCAACACCTTAAACTTTGGCTTATGAAAATAGAAATGTGCAAAATAACTGTATCTCAGCTAAAGGTGAAATATACATTGGAAAATCAGTGTAAATAAGAAATAGCACTTGATAGGATCTTTGGAGATTCAGATATAATATTTGAAAGTTGCCCTATGCAAAATGCTTCAATTGAAGCTACAGGTGTAAAGTGGTAGGCATTTGGATTGATTTTTCATAAGTTTTTATGGAATCTAACTGGCACAAACTCTATTTTTTATTATAATTAAAATGCATGAATATTTTAAGCATAATTGTGATAGTTATACAGGATAAGAAATGTCACATGGGTAAACATGTTTTTTCTGTCCCATATTCTAGCTCCTTGAACTATTTTTACTTCTCTGTTGTACTTTACATGTGACCCACCTGTAGTCATCAATGGAGACAACTGACTTGATGTCATAATCTGGATTTCTAACATATATTTTTATAGCCCCTATGCTAATAATTGCTGCTTTAAGATATCCTTTTTCTTAATATTTTAGGAATGGTTATTTTGCCATTCTACAAGTTTTTCTCCTTTCAGTGGCTGGTGTGGGTCTTCCGGGCTGTGTGGCCGTGTTCTTGAAGTTCTGTTTCCTAAC